AAAAAAGGAACAGCCAGAACAAATAAAGTTCACGAATAGAAAAACTGCTTCCAGCCAACAGCTCTAACTTCCTCTTGTTGCCTAGTAACCATGTTGAAAAGCTGGGAGGGTTTTTTCCCCCTCCAATATATAACATGTATTTTTCTATATATATATTTTAATAGAATAGAGTGAAAAAGGGAAAGGGGGGGTGGAGAAAGAAACATAATTGATGGTTCCAAATTCAATAAGGGAAAGAGAGAGACAAAAACGATCCACATCAGCCATGCCCCTGGAAGATTTTTTGACAATTAGATGATTTCTTCTGGAATCTCTCTAACGGTGTTTACAGCCCATCAAGTTTGCTTGCTTGGTATATTGTATACCAGGCAGTGAGCGGAGGGGCTGACAGCAAAGGACCCAGATTAGAGGAAGTTCCCAAGCAGGTGCCAGCTCTGTCTCTCATTCTGCCTTTCTCTGACTCTGCGAGGTTTTCCCTTCTGACGGTCATCATTTGTACCCGGCTGAGGTATTTAACTGTCTGGGTGAGGGCTGCTCTTCCTCTGGTTTCTGACAGGGATCCTATGGCTATCAACGGGAGCCCAGTTCTCTTCCATCGGACTCGAATTCGTCAGCTTCCTCCTGCTACTAATGGACCTGCTGTTCACTGGGAACCCGGGCTGTGGGCTCAAGCTGAGCGCCTTCGCCGCAATTTCCTCCGTCCTGTCCGGTGCGTGCCTCCTGGGCTGGAGGGGGTGCATGTCATGGCCGCCTTTGAGGCACCCCTGGAGGGCATGTGTGTCTGTCGGGAGGGCAGGAAGGGGGCACCCACAGGTGGTATAAAGAATGGACATAGGGGGGCGCCTGGGTGGCTTAGTCGGTTAAGCGTCCGACTTTCGCTTGGGTCATGATCTCGCGGTTCGTGGGTCCGAGCCCCGCGTCGGGCTCTGTGCAGACTGCCAGCTCAGAGCCTGGAGCCTGTTTCAGTCTGTGACTCCCTCTCTCTCTGACCCTCCCCTGCTCGCGCTGTCTCTCTCTCTCTCTCCTAGAAATAAATAAAACATTAAAATAATTTAAAAAAAAAGAATGGACATAGGATGGGGCGCGTGGGTGGCTCGGTTAAGCTTCCGACTTCGGTTCAGGGCATGATCTCATGGTTCATGAGTTCGAGCCCACATCAGGCTCTGTGCTGATGGCTCAGAGCCTAGAGCCTGCTTCACATTCTGTGTCTCCCTCTCTCTGCCCCTTCCCTGCTTATGTTCTGTCTGTCTCCCTCTCTCTCTCTCAAAAATAAACATTTAAAAAAAAAAAAAAGAATGGACATAGGAGACACGTTACAGGCATGTTTACGTTGGAATGAAATTTTGTAATAGAGCAGTATGTGCTTTGCAAAATGATTTACCTCTAGGTTCTTTTTACTTGCAAGCTTTCTCAGTGTGTGAAATATGGTTTGATTTACTTTTCAGTTGTACATATACACAGCTTTTCAAGACTGTTGGATGAAGTAAGAGAAAGAGATGCAGAGCTCACATACAGGGCCTGGGTAGGAAGAAACAAAAGCCCCAAGTCCACCATTGGCTCAAAAACCTATCCCATACTCCTACAGCCTGGGGCAGCCTGTTGCAAAGTTATGCATTCGAGGAGAAGCCCCCATTGCAGAGGAGTCTCCCCGGAAATGTGATGGCAGCTGGGTAATGGAACTTCTCAACTGAGGCTCACCTGATGCAAAACGAGGCAGTTGCTCCAAACTCCTATTCCCTGTAAATGGCGATGCCAGTGTCTGGATCTCTAAAGGCGCTGCCTTCCTGTCCCCTCTGTAGGCCTTCTGGGGATGGTGGCCCATATGATGTATTCACAAGTCTTCCAGGCAACTGCCAACCTCGGTCCAGAAGACTGGAGGCCACACGCTTGGAATTATGGCTGGGCCTTCTAGTAAGTGCTCACCCGTCTCCTGAGCCTTTTAGCCCTTCTCCAGCCAACTTGCATTAGATGTTCCGCCCTCAAGTAGATGCTTGCTTGGTGTCATCCTGTCTTCATCCCTCATCCCAGGGGCCTGTGGACCAGCAGGCTGGCCCATGGTGTCACACCGGTTCTTTCCTCGCCTCCTGGGGAGCTACGGAGAGGATTCTTTCTGGCTTGTTTTGTCCAGTTTTTCTGATGTTGCCTTGGGAAGTAAGACTGGTTTTGTGTGGCTCATGGAAGCGATGCTCTTGTGTTTTGTATATTTTGTGACTTCAGGTATTGGAGGACAGAGCAACGAAGAGTTAGCCTTGGGGTTTGGTTGAAATCCCGTCACCTGTGGATGGTTGATTCTCCTCCCCTAATGAAGAGTAACTTCTTCCTACTTCCACTCTTACCCCACCAAATTGTGTGAGAAAGAAAACCTCCCCTGTTGGTCATTCCCGAACCCGTAAAGAATTAAGGGGCCAGTTGTTTTCAATTTCTCTTGGAGAGGCAGCCACCATGACAAAATAAACACATTCAAAGTAAATATCCCCTTTGAGAGTTCCTCACATTCTCCCTTGAGGAACATGCTCTCTCCACTGCGTGGGTACTAGCTTGGAGTTGCACTCCCGTCTAGGCTAAGTGTGAAGCACTCTGATTGTGCTGAAAAGACACTGTGCTGGGCTCAGGGAGGCAACATGGAAGCCTATCCTTGTCTGTTAGGAGGTCCTATCCCCTTTTCTCATGATGGAAAACGTGTCATTTGATGTAGGTGTCTTTGGGCTAATCCACCAGCCACCAGGGCTTATTTTCCAGACACATGGTTTTGCACCTTGCGTCCATCTTTAAGCCATTCTTGGCATTAACAGCTGCAGAGCTCAGACTACAAAACTCCCATCAGAAGTGTCGCCAGCCTGAGTCCATTGAGTCTGTCAGAGGCAGCAGATAAGAACACGCTGTGCCAGGGGGTGGCCTGGCTTTAACCATGACTTGACCTCATGAAACTGCTCACTAACCTCACACAACTTCCTGTTTCCTGGGCTTCCCAGAATCATGGGAGAGATTTAGGGGTTGACTTTCCAAGTTTTTAGGAATGTGTTTGATATGGTTCCCTGGCGGTTTGGGTTTTTTTGTTGTTGTTGGGTTTTTTTTGTTGTTGTTGTTTTTTACTTGTTGAATCCATCTAGCTTCTCTTAAATCTCCAGCTTCTCTTCCATCCATTATAAACCCCCTTAAGCCAAAAGCCACACTGTTTTCATAATAGGCAAGTTCTACTAGTACAACCTATAATGTCTCCAGATTTGTAGTGAGTATTTCCTGAATGACTCTCAAAGGTTCAATTTGTGAACCCAAAGAATGCTAACCTCAAAACAAAGGAAGATGGAAGAGGAATGATCACTCTCAGCGTCTGATCTGAACAAAGGAAAATCTTTGGCAGGATGTGTGGGGGCGGGAGGCGGTTCACTGGGCTACATCCACTCTGTATGGCTAAACTACAGGTTTCTGGAATCTTGGGAGATTATAAGGGTATCTCCAGCTTGGGAAATAGTAGTCCAGAAAGTTGTGTGTGTGTGTGTGCGTGTGTGTGTTTGCATGCGTGTGTGTTTACATATGTATACAAAACAGGCACACTGGGAATAAGGAGCTCAGAGCTGACAACTATCAATCCAGTGAAAACGAATCTCTTAAACTCCTCGTCTGGCTTTTAACACTACTGACTACAAGAGTCATTCTCTTGGACCACAAAACGTTCAGAAAGTATCCTACTAAGACCAAATTCAGGCCTCTTGCCCATGGTTCTTGACCTACATGAGGGAACACACTCAGGCCCCTAAACCCTAAGGGGCATTGGCCTAGTTTACTAATAGGAAGAGATCGTGGTATTTTCTCTGAAACCTGTAAGGAGGTCAGGGTCTTACTGTCCAATTTTTCTGTTCACCCCTAGCACGGCCTGGGTTTCTTTCACCTGCTGCATGGCATCGGCTGTCACCACCTTCAACACATACACCAAGCTGGTGCTGGAGTTCAAGTGCAAGCACAGTAAGAGCTTCAAAGGAAACCTGATTTGCCTGCCACATCACCACCAATGCTTCCTTCAGCAGCTCTGTGCAGCCCACACAAGGGGTCCTTGCACCGACTACCAGCAGTACCACAATCAGCCCATCCGCTCCATCTCTGAAGGAGTTGACTTCTACTCAGAGCTACGCAACAAGGGATTTCAACAAGGACCCAGCCAGGGGCTTGAGGAGGCGGCGGCTGGGTCACTCGCAGAGGAAGAACCCTGCTAGGAGTAGTGAGTGGGGTTTAGAGGGCAGGCTGAACCCAACCTTACATGTTCATTATCAACATGTACTTAAGCCAAAGTCTGTCTCTCGAACATGGTTTTCATAGGTTAAGAACAAGAGTCTCCTAAAGTACAAGTCCAGAGGGGTGCGTGCCCAGATGCCATCGCTCCCTTTTCCTTTCCAGCTCCATCGCATGCCTCGTTTCACCATCTCCCTACCTCCCCCATTCAGAATCACCTCCTCTCCTATACTGGTTGCTTGTTATGTGCCAGGTTCTGGGCTAAGCAGTACAGTCCCTGCCCTTTAGGGGTCTATCAGTTTGCTCATCTACCAGGGATGTGGAGAAATGGAAGTGGGCAACTCAACAGTTGTTGACTGCGGCTCAACTTTCCATGGTGCACTTGATTTCTCCGGGAAGTCTCAGAATGGAAGACGAAGGCCCTTCCGGGAGCTCGGACATGTAGGGCAGATGTCCTCCACGCTGCCTGCTGCAGTGTCCTGCATCCACGTAGGAGGGTATCCAATGACAGCTTAATTAAGTACTAACCTAAGAAACCACCGGGAGACCAGTATACATGAGAAGGCTCCCACAGCATGCAGGGACAGGCCCACCTCCAAAATTGGTCCACTGAGGCTATTCATTGTGGGATTTATGGTAAGGGAGACGTCCCCAAGGCCGCGGCATTTACTCCTCTCTGGATCCCCAACTCACCCACCCACTTACCCTTTCTCTTTTCCATAAGGGGAAACAAACCATTCCAATGGCTAGGAAGAATGAGGATAACACACAAGTGTGTTTCCTATACATCGTATTTATTTGTTCTGCAACAATTCACATTTTAAATAGTGCTTCCTGACAATATACCAGCTGGCTCTTCCGTAGTATGGGCAATAAAAGTAGCAATTCACATTCAAGGGGGTTGGTATCAGCATACCGCACTGCCAAGGGGGAGCAGAGGCCATCTGGGGGATGGGTGGGTGCTGTCTAGGACCGAAGGGGCTGTAAGGACAGCAAGGAGGAAAGCTTGGGAAGAAGGAAGGCCCTTGCATTTGCAGAAGTCACTACTATCCCTAAGAGGCAGTCACACTGGCCTTGCTGGCATCCCGTGCTGCGAGTGGGGGAAGGGAGGAGCTCTTCCTTTCTTAGATGCCGGGTTGGGTGGGTGCCTGTCACGAGGAGGAACCGTAGGGACATATCTGACAGGCCAGCACCCACGCTGGTCAGAGGAAGCTTCCTCAGGCCTTGGCCACCGCTTCTACCCTCTGTGCTGGCTGCGGGAGGGAGGAGAGCTTGTCCTGTGTCTAGCAAAAAGAGAGTCAAACTTATAGTCCAAACAACCTACGTTAAGTTAGTCTGTAAACACACCACAAAGAACTTAGGGACGTCCGCTGACATAGTTCTGGGACTCACCCAGCATAAGCACAACCTTCTACCGAAAAGGATTCCCCCAGAGCAGGTCCTCAGTAAATGGCCTTCCCTTTTTTACCTCCACCTAAAGTGGCTGGCTTCCCAGAGAGGCTCAGCGTGGGAGAGAACGAGGTTTAGGCATAGATGGCTCAGCCCAGGCCACAGGACCACAACCCAAGTTTTAGGTATCCGGTTGACTATACCGGATAGTATATGTAAATGAGTCCTTAGAATTCTCTACTAGGCCAAAAGATCCTAGGCTATTCTACTCAAGTAGGTTCAGACTCTAGCAGTGAATCTAGAATGTCCCCATCCTCTTGGGTTGTCCTCTAATTAACTGTTCCCTAAAGTTTACAATCAGCTGGACCCACACATGAATCCCAAAGTGTTGAAACCAGGTTTGCTTTCAGGGGCTACGGCCAGGGGGTGCCCAGAAACCTGGGAGGCCGATCTGCTAGTGCTACCAAACTTGTGTTCTGTCATAATGCCAACCAGTGGGCAAGCAATATCCATCCCTTCAAATCTGGGACCCCTAAATTTCTGTAATCTCTAAAGTTTCTGGACTTCCTTTAGTCATACAAGCTAAACAGACACAAGCTCAAGCAAAGACAGAAACCTGAGTTGCACTCGGGCATGACCTATCAAAATTATTCAAGAAGAAAAGCAGTTCCCCACCGGCTAACGTGGGGTTTTCTGCTATATAAATAGTGACCTAGAAGTTTAGGAGAGACCTTAATAGAAGAAACATATTTATAGAAAAAGGAAAAAATAAGCGCTGGAAATAATTCCTAAGAACTTAATTATAAAAGTTATAATATGTACATGGGCATTTCCCCAGAATACAGTGCTTCAAAGGCTCTATGAGGACGGAGATGTGCAGGCAAAATGGTAGCATACTGGACTCAAGCAAGAGTAAAAACCCAGAAACAGCTTTGCTCTCATGCAAGCAAAGCAAAAAATAGCTCTGAATAGAAGAGGGCAAGTGAGAGGCGCTAAGGAGGATGCCCAGGAGGAGATGCTAAGAAAGCAGTGTGCAGAGGAGGCAGGGGAAGGCCACCTGCCTCAATCGCTCCTGACTTCACACGCATAAGGACCACACATGCACAAGCTCTCCGGAAGCGACTGCCGTGAAAAGGTCATGATGGTCAGGGCAGAACAATCAAGACCACATGATACCATTGTTAGAGGTGGGTCCCTAACCTTACTTCTCTGGCTCCCCTTCTGACAGGAATATGGTGGTGGTTATGGTAACTAAGTGTATAGAGGTGGAAAGTGTGAGGAGGGAGGCTGCGTACGATAGAAAGTGCTGGATGGGCTACCTCAGCCTCCCACTGCCAGTCTTCTTCCTGCTGTTAGAGCAGGGAAGAAGCCAAGGTACAGGTGGTGAAAGATCACAGAGGGAAATGACAAGTGGCCCTGAACATCAGAGGCAGGGCACCAGACATCTCAAGACGACCAAACATACCAGATGTATTTCAGAAGGACAAGAAACCATGTCCCTGGAGCTTAAAACAGACTTAGAAAATGTTTTGTCACAATACTAATACATATACACACATGGCATAATGCAAAACAAAATGTTCTGGGGAAGAACGTCACTGGAATTTCCCAGTAAGACTTTATAAATTAGACATACAAAAAACAACATGGAAGATTCACATTTCCAAACTACCCACAGAGTGCCCAGAGGGGTTAATGCAGGGACTGAAAACGTAGGTCAGATACTCCAGCCAAATGGATGGTGCCGTCATCAAAGAACTCTGATGCACCTCCCAAAGTGCTTTGCATCACGCAGACGTGGTAAAATGAGGCTGAAGTCTCCCTTCTCTCCAAAGAACTGACTCTGCGCTGACAGGAGAGAGAGGGTACCACCCTGCTCACTTCTTCTGAAACTGAAGATTCCGTCAGACTATATCTAGGGGAAAGAATGCAAGTATCAGAGACTAATTTTTTTCATGGTAGAGAACTGGAGGAAACCTAAAGATCAGGCTATTCCTCTACATTTCTGTCTAGCCCCAGTTCATAAGTCTTTCCAGAATGGTCCAGAGACTTTACCCTTTTCCATGATAAACTCTTGCACCCTGAACTAGACCACCGTATTTGAGGGCGGGGGGTTAGCATTCTCTGGAGCAGGTAACTGTTACCATCACTGCATCATGTCAGCGCCACCAGCCCCAGCCCAGAAAATTCAAGTAATATCCACCCAGCTCAGTCACCGAGACGATGGAAACCACGACCCCACATTTCCAAATGTCCCTTAAGGGACATGGTCCCATTCCCAGCTAAAAACAATGGACTATTTCTGAATGGTCATGAAGCACCCTGAGAATATGGCGCTGCTCTAAAACAACTGGTTCTTGATACCCAGAAGGCTCCCACTCTCCCTACCTTCTAGAGAACAAAGTTGGAGTTGGTAGTATTTACCCCAATCCCTCAGTGGTAACCAAATATTTCTTTCAGAAGCGATTCACCTGGTGGGGAAGATCAACAAACTTTATCCTCGAGAGGAATCTGCGCAGCTCGCCACGGCCAATTTTGGGCGTGGCATCCTCAAGTTGCACCACCTGGCCTTCCATCAGCGCCCACCGCAGACTGAGCTTGCTGACCACCAGGGGTGCTGGGTGGCCTTCGGAGCTGGGCCCTGTTGTCCTGGTAACATAAAAGGCATCTTTCCAGAGGTCGTTAATTCCAACTGAGGAAGGACAAAAACAAGAGCAATTAACGTAAAGACCGAAAACTTCTGCTAACAGGAGAGTGGCTTGGTTCAGCAGCCTGATTCATTCATTCATTTACTCCTTCATTAATTTGTACACACAGTTTATTGAGCACCTCATAAATGCAGGGCACTGAGCTGGGCAGTGGGTGCACAGTGGGGAATGACTGGTGGCCGGCAAACCAGCACATTCCTCTCCGTCTCTGGACCTTTCCTTCTCTGAAGCTGTTTCCAAGAAAGCCCCAAATCAGGAAATGAGGATATGCCAGCTCTGATGACAACTGGATAGAAAAGTGAGCACAACAAATGAGAACTTCTGAGCAGAATTCCCAGACAGTCAGTACACGGTCACAGAAGCCATGTGCCTCCCCAGTGCTCATTTAAGCCTCACGCTTAAAACAGGTGTCATAATAAAAATGGTCTGGTTCTTTATTACCATCATTTAGTGCTCACTGAACAATATTTGATGCTAATACTGAGAAATGGCTCATTTAGATCCAATCACAGGATTCTCCGCCACCCGGGCCCCCCACCACACACAAAGCCAGCGGGCCAGTGTGCTGGCAAGTTCCAGATCAGGTGTGCTTCCCTATGTATCTTAATGGAAAGTCACAAGCACTGGCTTTAACTTCAAGGCAAATAGTGAGCCAGTCTGTGAATGTAAGAGAACACAGAAAGAAGTAAAGGAAAAGGGGCCAGTCCGGTCTCCCTCCCCACAGCAAGCACTGCAGACTCCCTCAGGCCAGAGTGAGGCAAAGGATCTCTGGGGAGGAGACCATCAGACCCTTCCAGACCAGGAGGTAGCAGCGGCTGAGTTTCCAGAGCTCTGCCCACCTGAATTACAGGACTCTAATATAGGATCCAAACTCTAATGTAAAGTATTGTTTACATACACATATAAACTTGAGGAATACTTCCAAAATGTGAATAGTGATAATGAGTGGTCAGATTCCGGGCAATTTTTTTTTCTTCCTTTGATTTTTCTCTTGGCAGCCATGTCTACGCCGTGGGCACGTTTACCTGCACTAGTCGAAAGAAAGCCTCCCACTGATCCTAAACCAATGCCCTGGAGACAACGTGCTTCCTCCTCATACCCCTCACAGTTGATGCTAAATCCTAAGCTCTTGGAGGGTCAAGAAACCAGTCCTATTTGAATTCCTAGCACCTGGCACAGCACCTGACATACAGGTGATGCTCAATGAGCGTCTGCCTAAGGCGTGGCTGTGGGAATCACGACCCCTGAGAACCTCTGGGACATGGGGCTGCACCTGCCCTGGGCTTTTAGCCCTATTCAGAGAGTTGGGTGCTCAGCCTGTGAGCCGGGTGCTCCTCCCAGAGGGAGCACTCCGGCCACGGCTCTGGGCACCAGGGACGCCAGGGAAAACGCACGGGGGTGGCTCAGCTGTCACGTGGAAGCACACATCCCTTAGTTGTTAGACAGCGGTGCCCGCACACGCACAGCCAGCACATCTTCTCCCCTCACTGTGCACCCAGTCCCCGCCGTCACTGGGACTTACCCTCTGAAGCCGTCACTGTGCCTGTGGCATTGGCCAGATCGAGGAGAATAGAGGGGAATGCTGGGTGCAGGAGGTAGAGGTGGTGAAGGCCGGGTGGCCCAGTCCCCGGGATGGCGTCCTGACCATGAGAAGCAAAAAGGGAGAACACGGGTCACTCTATGTTCCCACATGTGAGGTCCTCAGATGAAAAGGGCAGAGGGGACAGTGGTGATTACTCATTCCTCTTAGATGCTATGACTGACCCCAACTACAAGCATGTGTTTGAGAAAAGCTCCCATATAAAAACTCCACATATTTCAAAGGGCTCAAAACAGACTACCCACTAATTTCTTCAGACCACTAGAGCTGGAAAATGCTCTCTTCTGTCTGAGAAAAAAAGAACGGAAGCGCGCACGCCCCAGGAGAGAAATGTGACGCTGCGGCTCCCGGTCTTCTGCCCGTGGGGGTATTAACAACACCAGCTCATCTCCTGCAGTCGGGGGGGCTTTGTGGAGACAAAATGTATGTTTGAAAAGACATCTCCTCTCACTGGATATTAGAGCCAATTACAAGTGTCGAGCCAAAATCCACAAAAATCTTCTCAGTTCCTGAAATAAACAGAGCATCGACTACAAAGAAACAAATCATTATAAAAGAAAACAATTCCAAGGCCCAAGTGTCAGTCTCCAAAGTCCCCACAGCAGAGGAGACGCACACAGGACCTTCGCTGACCAGTGGGACTCCTGCGCAGCGATGACCTCCGGCTCTCGCACACGTGTGGCCATGCGGTCGTTACTGCACGAGAAGCCCGCGGACGGGCTAGTAAGTGACTGGCCGTCCCCTGGGAGCACCCTGGGGCTCTGCGGGTGGGGGAAGGGGAACCCCCTGTTCTAAGCATAGGAAGCCCATACGTGAGGAAAACCACAGGCAGGAGGCCTGCAGCCGCACCCCCACCCCCGCACGGAAGAGGGCATTTTCCACACAGCTCAGGAGCCCAGGCCTGTGGCTCTGGCCACGTGACAAGCAAAGAGCCAGACTCCCTCCTCACTGCCTGGGGAGGGGAGCCCACGTTCCTAGCCTGAAAACCAAGGCCTTACCCCATTTAGTCCAAATCTGCCGTTTCCAGCCTTCCTACCTTATGTCCCTGCCCACCCAGGCTTCCGGAACCTCCATTACCCATGCCGTCTCACCTCGGCCAACCCGTTTCCCCCTCAGGCTGTCTAACAAGCCCTGCAGGCCCCTGCCATGCATTCACACAACTCTCGGCCTCCGCTCCCACACCTAAATGCCACCTCTTTCCCCAACAGCTCTCCGACTGCCCCAGGCAAAATTAATACCCTCCCCTTTTGTGCTTCCGCCTAAACCTCTCATTTGTGCTTCGATTACAGTGTTTGGGACACGCCTCTTGTTTTGTGGTTATTTACAGGCACTTACATTTGAGAGTCACCTGCTCCAATCCCCTGGTTTTATTAAATGAAGAAACCGGGAGGTTAAAATGTTAGGCAAACTCTCAGTGGGCACATGTGAGGGCAGAACCGAGTTAGGATGCAAGCCGAGATTTTGAGCAAGTCTGATCCTCCAAGTGAGGGAACATATTAGCACCTTCACTGACAGATAAAGGCACGAGGCTCAGAAGAGTGAGGTGGCTCGTCCAAGAGTGCCCGGCTGCTGAACTCAGGACTCTCGTGCTTCCGCCCCCCCCCCCATCCGGGGACCATCTGCCTTCTCCTCTAGAGGACCCCGCACTCTGTCCAGTCCATCCTTAGGTCCCTCAGAGAACACGGCGTCTGGCACAGAGGAGGTGCTGGTCGAGATGTGTTTCCCTGAACTCGCTCAGGGTGGGTCTTGCCAAAGACTCGCAGGCACCTAACACCGCCGGCGCCCTGCCTCACCCGCCCGTGAAGCGCTGCTGTGTAGCCCCGAAGCCGTTCCAAAGTCTGCCTCCTGGGCATGCGACCTTCTCGGCCGTACTTCCCCCGGGTGGACTCTCCACCTCGGCCTTGTCATCCCATCCAACTGCTCGCCCTCCCAGCCCCGCGCTGTCTCTGCAGACTCCGTTTAGTCACCTCAAAGCCCAGCCTCACCCGCCATGAGACCTCCTCTGCCCAGTCCAGACCAGTCAGTCAGTTCTCTTCGGCGGTGGCACAGGCGGACCAGCTGGGACTGAGAAGGCCTGTCCTTCATCTACCTCCCGCTGTCGGCAGCCACTGCCCGGCCGACAGCAAGGCCGGGGCACGGGGGCTCAGGAGCAAGCGGGGTCCTGCCCTGCCTGCGCGAGGGCGGCTGTGTTCGCCCTATGCCCCACTCCCCCCGCCCCTGGAAGAATGGCTGCTCCACGCAGCCCCCACAGGCCCAATCAGCCCAGCAGAGCAGCCGTCCCTCCACCAAGTGACAGGAGACCCCCCGCCCCCCAGGCTCACTCACAGAACTGAGGGGTACAGCGGACAGCCCCTCGGCCCAGAAGAGGAAGACAGACTTCTGGTCTGAAGTAAGCGCCGAGGTGGCTGGCGTTCCCTTCACGCGGCAGGGAGTGCGGTAATTCCAGGTAACGGAGCCCGAGTCCCCGTCCACCACCATCGCCTGCAGAAGAGGAGCCCGTGAGTGCAGCCCGTCTCCAGGAGGGCAGCGGCCCGAGAAAACACACAGAGCAATGAAAACCCGCGCAGATCCAAACAGCACGTGTTATTAACAGGCTGAGCTGACTACATGTGAACAAACTGGGTGTTCGGAAAGCATTAAAGGCCTAGGGACCAGGCCCCAGTTTTCCGCGGCCATTGTGCCCATTTTGTAGAGTTTAAAGGACTGTAGAATTCTGGAGCGGGAAGGAGACCTTAATCATCTGATCCACCTCTCATTCTCCAGCTGAGAGGGTGGAGGCTCGGGGACAGTGAAGGACTCAGGCTGCTCAGAGTCCGTGACAGTGCTCGGACAGAGGGCGGCCTTTGGGAGGGGTGCCCCCCTCCCGCTCCTTCCCCTCGCCACTGCAGCCACCACCGCCGGGAACAATGACTAAGTGGACGCAAGTCCTGTGCGCGGTGCTAAAAGCTTTCTGGGTTTGACTCCTTGGTGTCACGTGCAGCTCAGCTCCAGGGTGGTCTCAAATTCAAAAGAGCACATCTAAACAGGAGAACATAGAAACTAAGAGGAAGCTTACTCCTCGGCCGCATCCCTCAAAGGACAATTAAGGGGCCTGAACTCATAATCCCTGACGCACTTCTATCTCCTTCTCCCCCCAAATACCTCTCAGACCTCAGTTTTAGAGCCTCTTCTCAGCCAAAATCCACAAGAAACTCCTCACCCGCCTCTAGTCCTTGCCCTTACGGCCCCTCTCCTCAGTGTCTGTTCTTCGATAGATGGAAGGACCTCAGCTCGGTCAACAATCACTCCCCTATTCTTCCAGCCTCTCGGTCCTGCCCGTCTATGTCTGTGCTCGGACTCTACCTCACAGAAGGTCCCGGAACCACGTGGAGAGACAGACTCCCCTAAGCCAGCAGTTCCAGATTCTCTCCAGTAGTCTGAGGAGAAGTCTTGAGACATTACACTAAAAACTTTATCCAGTCACACACACTATTTAGCTGTCATCATAACCCTATGAAGATAGGCAATACCCCCACTTCATAAAGTGATGCAGAATCTGCAGTTGGGTGAGATTATGTAATTGGCCCAAGGTCACTAATAAGGAGAGGAGCCAGGATTAAATTCTAGGTCCAAACCCTCAGCATCTCAGCTCTTAATCCAGCTGTATGTACCCTTCTCCCTTAATCCTGATGGAATGCCCATGAAAATTCCAATCTCTGCCTGAAATCCTTTTGAAACACATTCAGACATTGTTTCCTCTCTGTACAGCACTGCTGGAGGTGCTCCCTGAAGTGAGGCTTCTATCATTGGCTCCCTCCCCCACTCACGACCAAATAACCCTAACTGCCTCCAATTCGTCTCCGAAATTCTGCAGCCCTGCTTCTCAGGGCCCTCCTTCTTCAGCTGAGCTCACTGTGATCTCCCTGGAGGAAATGCCCCTTGGTCTACCCTTATATATGAACCCAGCAAACCACTTCTCTGCTTTCATGATTTGAACATCAATCCTGCAACCAACATGAAGCACCTCTTGACTCCCTGTACTCTATCTGCCCCCCACATCCCCATGGCATCGTGCAGACCTCCCTTACGGCCCTCGCCATGATGCAATAGGACTGTGTGCATACAGGCACCCCAGTGACTACGAGCTACACAAGACTGGGGCCTCGTCTTCATTACTGCCATGCCTCCACTGACGTCATCTGTGCATCTGGCACGGAACTTGGCAGATATTAGAGGGGATGATTAAGTGCTGGGTTTGCTCACAGGGAAGAGTGCATAATATATAAATACATATGTTACAGTAAAGAGAAATGAAAAGTTAGGTCAATTATAAAAAAGAAATTTTAAAAACTAATTCTCCCTGTAATCAGAATGAAAACGGTCTATCCAATCATTATATCCTCATAATATGCAACCTCACATAAAAAGACCTATTCAGTATCCTTGGAACATGGATTCTGTCTCCGGGCCCCTGGTGTCAGTGTTTCTAACCTGACATGCCTTCCCCACCACCCTTCCTCACATAAATGTGATTCAACTTTCCAGGTCCTGGCTCATCATCTTTCCCTCCTTTGTTAAGTCTTCTATAACAACCGAGCCACCCCAGATATCCCGCCTTCTCTGAAATCGGGAAGATATGTACTAAAGTACTAAATTTATTTATGCTTGCCTTTCCCCACCAAGAGACTTTAGAAGGTTCCTATTGACTAACTGTGAGTTAAGAATCCAGAAGTGGGAACTCATGTACAGGAAGGAAGTTAGCTAGAAAGGCTTCCAATGCTATAGATTTTAGCACCGAATTCCGAGTTTTCAATCTATCCATCAGCCAGTCTTGGAGCTCTCTGAAGGAAGGGACCGGAATTTAGGTTCTTTTTACATATGCTAGACACAACATTATATACTTTATGTATGTTTCAATTGATTTGAGTCCCAAAGTTTTACCTTTTTCATCCCAACTCCATCCTGTATCTGTAGAAAGAAATCTAATGTCTGATCGTCGGTGAAATACCCGGGAGTAGGCTGGCTGTAAATGAGAACAAAATAATCAGTGGTGACTAAGAAGAAGAGGAGGGGCGCCTGGGTGGCTCAGGTGGTTAAGCGACCAACTTTAGCTTGGGCCATGATCTCACGGTTCGTGAGCTCAAGCCCCACGTCGGGCTCTGTGCTGACAGCTCAGAGCCTGCAGTCTACTTCAGATTCTGTGTCTCCCTCTCTCTCTCCCTCTCCCCAACTTGTGCTCTGTCTGTCTCTCTCTCTAAAAAATAAATAAACATTGAAAATAATTTTTTTCAAATAAGAAGAAGAGGAAAACAAGGAATTCTTTCTCTTCTCTCACACTGCCCCAGATATCAAGCTATCATTCTGAGGAATTTTGACACATGGGAAAGCGGATCAAAACGGCAAACACTCGGAGGAACACACTGCAAACCTGTGCAGGCCTTGCAGGCTCAGTGTCCAGGAAGGTGTCAGATTTTGCCCGCGCAGCAGAATAAGGCCTTGTCTGGCTGTAATCAGGAGGTTGCTGCAGTTGGAATCAGGTGCCTTCACCATCTGGAGTAGCTCGACACCATCACTGAATTGGACAAGACCCCCACAGTTAGCCTCCAGCTGGGATGAGATTCCCGACCCACCAGTTTGGGCTTTTGGTCTTGGTGTACATGTTTGTCTGTGCTCTTGTATTCATCCCCTGCCGTTATCCTATCAGGCGGGGCTCGGTCACTCTGGTGAATCTCAGTTTAGAAACCAAACATCCCCAAAGAACTCATGCAAGTAAAAAAGGAGCTCCCAGGAGAAGTGCTGCAGAGCTGTATCTCTCATGTTAGATGCTTGGGAAAGGTAAGAGAGCGAAGGATAACGGCAAGGAAGGCGGATGGAAACGTGGACAGGAGGCCTGAAAACGTCACTAAGCTTGGACAACTCACTCGTCGCTGCGTCAGATTATTTCTTTGTCTGGACAACTGGGACCATTCTATTTAACAACTGCCAAATTGACTGAAACAATGTGATACTGCCTGAGAAAGGGCTAGAAAATGATTTGTAACTTCCAATAGAAAAGAATGAAGCCAATTGCTATGCAGGCCTCAGGTTAAATGAGTAAAATCCACTGCATGTGGCAAATGACATGCTTTTGATTAAGAAATAAACAAGAATAAAAAATCAGATTTCATGGATGCTAGCCTTGCTTCTGCCAAAATGATCCTTCGACTAAGAGGAAAACACAGAAAAAGAGTAGGGCAGATGATTCAGCACAGTTTTACAAGCAGGTATTTTAAATAGCTCTGTCTCCTGACCTGAAGGGTTCCCCAGTCTCACCTGGTCCCGCTCTGGGAGCGCTACACAAATAGCCTTCCTTGCAACCTATGTGCAGAGTGGTCACAAATCATGATCACCAACACGCAGCTATCGACACATTATGTTACCAAGAAAAGGAAGTTTCTAACTCACTAGATCGGAAGATGGCATATTAAGGCCCGCACGGTTTTCCCCGCAAACCTCAGCCTGCTCATTCACCAGCCCAAACAAGCTTGGAGACTCCGTCACACACGCGCTCTCAGATCTCACTGTGACAAGCTCAGACATCTGCCCTACCTGTAAATGTCAATGAGCTCAGACAGGTTGATGGATCTTCGCTTCTCCCATTCTGGCTCTTCTATCTGCAGAGAAGGTGGTAAGCTGTCTCGATTTTGGGCCTGAACAAAAATGTCCCGCAGGGCGACAGCTTGGATATTTCCTAGCACCACAGGAAGAACCAACACTGAGAAGCTGAATTTACTAGAACTCTCCCAGGGTGAGAATCTGAGCGAGAGACATGGAACCTAATCAGACGGGTCTAATATAGCCCACCCAGACGAATCCAACATGGAGTGACTGGACAAGCGATTAAGCGGATGCTGCACGGCGTCTTTGGAGAAGGCAGCCGAGAAAGCAGCATTAATAACCGGCCACGGGTGGGGGAGAGTGCGAGGGCCCCTGGGACGAGAGGTGGCAAAAGGGCTGGTGTCAGCAATTCCCGAGCTTTCACCGTCTCAAAAGGGAGGCCCAACACACACACACACACACACGCGCGTGCAATGGGAAACAGCGGCAAAATTAGCCTTGCTTCTTACCAAAGCCAAACAGGATATAGACAGCCCCATTTGTGGTGACGTAAACCTGAGGACCAATCAGATTCCCCACGCCCACGATGTTGTACTTCACAGGTCGGCCCAACGGACTCCCTGTCCGGCCAGACACCAGCAGAAAGCACAGATCTGGCTGAAGAAGCGGAAAAAGGGAGTCAATCGATGCCATATCGTGTCCTAATCAGGAAGTTTCTACAGAAGTCACTGTACTCTGATTAGCTAAGGGTTCAGAAATACTCCCCAAAGTTGCACAGCACAAAGCCAAACCTGCTTCCCCTTTTTCCCCCTTGGAAGCAAGACGGTGAGGCCAACGGCCCATCCTTTGTTAGATAATGTGCAAAAAGCACCTTCATAGTAGTTCAGGCAATTTCTCTGAAGCATGGTTGTCACTGATGAGCAGTCTTCTGAGGCACAGAATTCTAGCTGAGAGCTAACTAGAGGACGGCGGACTCCCGGGTCTCTATTCTCACACCCAGAAAGTCCCAGTAATATTTGGTCCCAACTAAAATCAACACAGGCAGTCTCTTCCACCATAACAGTACATGTCTAGCCTGGCCACTATCAACCCTCAAGCAGAGGTCAGCAAACCTGTCCTGTGAAGAGTCAAAAGGTGGATATTTTAGGTTTTGCAACTCAGATGATTTCTGTAGCACCTAGTCAACCACTATAGTGTGAGAGCAGCCTTGGATAATAATAAATGAAGAGGCGTGATGGTGCTCTAATAAAACTTTATAAAAACAAGCAGTGGGCCAAATCTGGCCTGCAGGTCACACCTTGCCCTAAAGGGTTTTCTTTAGGACTAGAGTCACCAGTCACTACAATATGAGGACTGTACTGATATCCTGGCTTCAGCAAAGCTTTTGATGAAGTTTAGCATCATGAATTCTTCTGGACGAGATAAAAAGGTATGGTTTTCAGTAAAAAGGAAGGCTTTTGGGGGCACCTGGGTGGCTTAGTCGGTTAAGCGTCTGACTTTCGCTTAGGTCATGATCTCGCGGTTCGTGGGTTCGGGCCCCGCGTCGGGCTCTGTGCTGACTGCCAGCTCAGAGCCTGGAGCCTGTTTCAGTTTGTGACTCCCTCTCTCTCTGACCCTCCCCTGCTCACGCTGTCTCTCTCTCCTAGAATAAATAAAACATTTAAAAAAAAAAAAAAAAAAAAAGGAAGTCTTTTGGTGGGATGTCATAGCACTCTGCCATTATCCCATTCCTACTAATCATTCTCATCAAAGACTTGAATGAACAGCTTATCTAAGGCTCATCACAGAGCTGAAAGGGATAGCTAATAGCTATATGACAAACTCAAAATTTAAACAAGTCTTAGGTTTGGAAGATTGGTCAAAATCTGAAAGAAGAAATGGGGCCACTAATTAGCTGATTAATTAAAAGGTGTGGGTGTTTTAACTGATTATAAACAAAAACCATATCTTAGAAAGGCTATCATAATCTGCAACTGCATCAATGAAACAGAAAGCCTATATCTAAAGAAGTAACAATTTCCTTATGCAGGTATAACTGGTTATATCACAAATAGCATACTGTTTTCAGCTATGGGTACCACATTTTAAAAGAGATATGGATAAAATGGGGTGCAGAGGGAAAGAAAGCAAGAAAGAGAGGGGGTCTAGACTTCATGTTGCACAGAGGACAGTATAAGAAATGGGGGTATTTAGCCTTGAGAGTAGCAGGCTTAGCGGGACTAATGGGCTTTCATGTAGAAAGAGGATTAGATTCATTCAGACTGGCTCTATGGGGCTGAGGCTATAACAGTGAGTGGAAGCTCTGAGAAAACAGAATTCTCACCAAGATGACAGAATTTTCTAGACCTGACCAAAAATGAAATGAACTTCCTTACAAACCAGCGATATTCCCATTAGCTTGAGTACTCAAGGAGAGTATTGATGCCAATGTGTCTGGAATACCATTTCAGATTATAGCACAGTGGGAGAGGGTTAACCACATGGCTTTAAAGGTCCCTTGCCACCTAGAAGACCCAAACTGTTCTAGACCAGATCAGTTCCTCTAACCCCAAACCTGGTCCCTCTGTGCCAAGTCTGCCTCACTCGAAGCCCAGATCTAAGAATGGGATCACTCTAAGTCATAGACCTTATACATTCCATTCCTCAAGAAGAGAGAGCCTTCCATACTGTAGCTTAGAGTAAATCAGAGCTTAAGGTCCCTAGGTTCTTTGTTGCTGGCATCATGGTCAAGACAAGTCAGTAGAAAGATGAGGCTATTGCTCTAAACCCATCACTTCACTAAGATTTTTCTAGTACCATCTATCAACTTGTCAGGCAGAATGGAGACTATTCTTATCTCTCCACTATACGTAAATAACTCAATTCTGTGACACACTTGGGTGATACACTTTTTTTGCTGTTTAGTTATGACAAGGAAAAAAAAAAAACACAGAGTAGGAGTAGACAAGAAGCTAAGTCCTCACTATGGAGGGTCCTTAAAAGCCAGAACCCCTAGCCTGTCAACCACCACTGGCTAATAAGAAGCCAAATGGGGTATTAAGGACGAGATTTTTTAACTTATCCAGGATATAGCAATATTTTCAATTTCTTGCTATGTCTCTGCTAACCATACTTCCATTGAAAAGAAACTCCCCATACTTTCCACTTTGGCGCCTTCAGATAAGCACTCCCTGATGGGCACAGTCTTCAAAATTCTCCCTAGACCCTGGTCTCTTTATTCACAATGACTGTAATAAAAAGATTATGTAAACAATAGCTGAGTTCTTCATTCAATCTACTTTGAGACCAACTGGCTCACGGAAGAAAGGCTAACAGAAAGTACCCTAAAAAAAACTAGCCTTCAGAAATTGACCTAACATCTTTGTTCTTATCTTACAAAGTATCACCAGGGGTCCTAGAGCGGTGCTCCTCAAAACTTGTGATTGGTGAAGCACTTTGTTAGTCTCTGGTGCTCCTGGCAGAAAACCATAAAACATGGACTGATAGAGTCCATTCTATTCTAAATAATTTTACTTGCAGATTTTATAATATGCTCCACGTATATGCATTACAAAAATCACAACAGCAAACACAAGGCCTATTAAAAATTAAAATAAGCGTTCAAATAAAGCAAAATTATCTACACCCACAGTTTTCCACAAATATTAATCTGTCAATTGTTTGTAGCAAACTCACATAGGAAGTCTGAGAAAAAGTCTTAGAGGAACTTTGACGCAAGCTTGAAGAAAAGCTTTAGGAGTAAAACTTAAAGTTGAGATAAATCTGCTCACTAATGCATTCTTTCCTGTGAATCAGGAGGGAAAACTACTATTATTTTTCTGTGCACAGAATAACTAGCTCCAGTACCCTCAGCTCCAGTACAGCATAACTGAGGAGCATCATTTAAGGACTAGCGTACTAGACTCAAAGACTGTATTATCATAGCCTGTGTTACAACTACCCTTTCTTAGGTCATTGTTGTCATTACTTATTCAATTCACAACATTCTTGATGTATATGAACCATCAGTCTATCTTATGCTTTATGTAAAATAAAAATTAAGTATATATAATAATACATACACATGGTCCAAAATAGGCACTACATTAGGCACTTCCAATACGTTAGCTCCAACTTTCACAACAAATCCTGTGAGTACACAGAACGTTCCCACGGCCAAGACCCAGCTGGATCCCACGGCTTGCCCAAGGCCACAAAGCTACCGCAGAGCAGGGACTGAAACACAGACCTAACTGGCTCCAGAGCTCCACCACGTCATAGTCAATGGCAACATAATGAGGCTGCTGGGAAAATGAGTTCATGATGGTAATTTATTCATTCAGTCTCACAAAGAGAATTTACTTAAACCCAAGCCCTCCTAAAAAGGTTTTGAGCAGCATTTATAATAAAATAACAAGGCTAGGAGCTGACTACAGTTGGAGCATTTCCTATGAGAAATACAGACCATTTAATACAGGGCATACCTGCAATTCCCCAATAGCCAGGACCACAAGATCTCTAACGCCATCTTCATCCAAGTCCGGCAGCACCACCCCTGGGGCAGCCAGGGTACCGTTGGATAAGTAGTTTGGGTTTAAAGTCCAAATGGCTTTCCCTAGAGGAGGACAAGTAGGCTGATCACAATTACAGCTTTGGGACTCTGGGAAAGGCAGGTGCCACGCTCCCGGATCAGAAAAGAGAAACCGAATGGGCAAATGACAGACAGCAGCTCTTCCTCACTTTTTTAGCTTTCATCTTACTGGGGACGAAGGGAGCAGGGAGTGTAAGCTGAAATCCTCAAGTGTCTGACTCAAAAACCTGTATGATAACTTCATGCTTAGATTTTTTGGATAAAATGGAAGTGCTGAAGTCTCTCCAAGAGAGAGGAGCCCACTTGTCTGGGGCAGAGGAGCTGAGCTGCAGGAGAATATTACAACGATAAGCAGACATCCGGGGGCAGCCAACCAGACATGTCTCCCTCCTGCTGCCAACTGTTCATATGAGCAGGGAAACTGTAGGAGGCTTTCAAAATGACTTCCGTTCTGGGGCTAACTCACACTTAAATTTTTTCACTCAAAATTACCCGCTACCCAACTCCAACCTCTAAAACTGGGAAGGTTGCAGGGGCGCCTGGGTGGCTCAGTCGGTTAAGTGTCCGACTTCGGCTCAGGTCACGATCTCATGGTTGGTGGGTTCAACCTCTGCGTCAGGCTCCATGCTGACAGCTCAGAGCCTGAGGTCTGTTTCAGATTCTGTGTCTCCCTCTCTCTCTGCCCTTCCCTCACTCATGCTCTGTCTCTGTCTCAAAAATAAATAAACATTAAAAAAAATTTTTTTTAAATAAATAAATAAATGAAACTGGGAAGGTTGCAATACATTCACTCAGCTTCGCCCGGGTCCAAGGTGTTAATAAGCAGTGCGCTTATGATGGTGTCGGGGGCCTTCATTATACTTGATTCCTTTTCATTCCTTGTGACATGGATATCTGAGTGTAATAAGTCAAAAGACCAAATCGACATGCATCAACAAAGCTTAGTTTCTTCCCTGACCTTTTTTGACGTGGTTAATGGCCAAGTTTACGCAGCGACCCTGTATATATCAGATTTGAGAGACAGAGCTCGGCTGTCTTCTGTACAGAGCAGGAAGACTGCTTAGAAACCGAAAGCCTCGGGGTAGTTTCTGTTTGGGTAACTCAGTTAAGCCCCAACCTAACACCAAACAGGTTTAACCGTGGATCTGTTACTCAATCTCTTCAAACCCTTTCTCTATTTACCTTAATACTCACTTTCCCAAGTAGTTAAAATCAGATTTTCCATCGTGCGACAGCGGCAAGGCCCCTTCCATACAGGCTGTTCTGATCAGAGACTGTGACTCACTGGAACAGAGACTTCTGTGGATAATGGTCTTTACCTGATGTTGCATTGAATGCGCTGAACATCTTATGTGTCCCTGTCACAAGGCAGATGGTCTCAGCCACGCGTCCCGGCATCAGGTCCAAGCAGGTAATGTCTCGGGCCTCCTCGGGGAGGGGACTCGACCACAGTGTGCTGCCATTCATCCCCGAAAGGCACACAAGGACAGCGGCTGGCCCTGAGACGCCTAAAAGCACTCAAGAGACACAAGGAAAGAAAGGAGGTAGAGAAGATAAACAGTACAGGTGAGCAAGAGGCCAGAAAGCCACAAACAAACGGGGCTAAGGCAGCACCTCGCACCTGTGTATTCCGCTCCCTCCCATATTTCTGGCTCCAAGAACAGAGTTCCTCTCCTATCTGCTCAACACGCCTCTCACATGAGACAAGAGGCTGTAGGGCCTCCTCCAGGACACGCTGTGTGCATCCCACACCCTTCCCAACATGCTTGTTTACATGTCTGTCACCCACCTTGGCCCGCCCTAAACAATGATACTCGTAAGGATAAAGTCTGTCACGTTAATTTCTGTATCCTCAGTGCCTCGCAAAGCGCCTAGCACACAGAGCAACCAAGTGTTTGCTAAATAAAAGACAGGAGCAAAATCCAGAATATGGGAGATCATTGTTGAGAACAAAAGCAATCAAGAGGGAAAGGCATGCTCAGAAAAGTCAGACTGATCTAGAACATGTACAGAGCAAGAGGCAAAGAAATACCTGAGTTCTGAGACGCCTGGGTGGCTCAGTCAGTAAGACCTCTGACTCGTGATTTCAGCTCATGTAATGATCTCACGGTTTGTGAAATCGAGCCCCATGTCAGGCTCTATGCTGACAGTGTGGAGCCTGCTTGGGATTCTCTCTCTCCCTCTCTCTCTGCCCCTCCCCTGTTTACTCTCTCTCTAAACACAAATAAATAAACTTGAAAAAAAAAATAAAGAAATACCTGAGTTCTCATCATCGCTAGCAAGTGCTCCCTGAGAGCAGAAAAAATAAAACATTTTAAAAATAAACCTGAAGACTATACTTAGCAATAATCAGTAGGTCTTCCTGGTCTAGAGTCCCATGGAATCAGCTGATATGGCCCCAGTCAGGACAGAATACTTGGGAAAACTTAATGCGTAGGTCTGAGGACAGCTGGTAAGGGATTAGAGGAGCTCTGGGGCACCTGGGTGGCTCAGTCGGTTAAGCGTCCGACTTCAGCTCAGGTCATGAACTCACAGTTCATGGGTTGGAGCCCCACGTCGGGCTCTGTGATGACAGCTCAGAGCCTGGAGCCTGCTTTGGATTCTGTGTCCCCCTCTCTCTCTGACCCTCCTCTGCTCATGCTGTCTCTCTCTCCCTCTCAGAAAAAAATAAAACATTAAAAGAAAAAATTTCAAGAAAGGGATTAGAGTAGCTCATCTCTTTAGTAAATAATCCTTTATGTCACTTAATTAACAATCAGAATAACAACTTTCTCTCTTGCCAGTTTTACATTTCACTTTCAGATAGGGATGCTGACTCATCTCAACACTTTCCACTTCCAGCAACAACCAATACGGACAAAGCAATTAGGTTTTGAGCTTCACTGTACCTATTTCTCAGCACTGCTAATTAAATATACAACCAAAAAAACAAGCGACAAGCTGTGGCTCACTGTTTCAGACTTTGTTGCCAGCAGCATTGATACACATGACAAACTGTGGTAACATATGTTAGCTTCCGGACTTCCCAGGGCTGCTGTGATTAATGTACTGTGCTGTCCTTCCTCTTTAAGGACCCTACTGAGACTCCAGATCAATTCTCTGAGTCATCTTCTTCCAGGTGGTAATAGGTTATCCCTTCCCCACTAGACTGCGGTTCCTTGAGGCTGAGACCACACTCCTCTTGTTCAGCTCAATGACCAGCAAAGCTCTATATAAGGTGCAAAGCAGGTATTCAATACATAGTTGTTGAATAAATGGAGTCACAAATGAATAAAGAAATAACTACCACAATCCTTCTTGTGCTCAGTGGCACAGATCCTTGAACCCACTGGCTGGGGTTATGGGCACAGCAGTTTGACATAAGGGTCAAGGACGTGAACTCCTGAGACAGTCTCGCAGCTATACTGTTTGGATCCCAGCTCTACCATTTACCAACTGTGGAACTTTGGTAAATTCCTTAAACTCCCTATGCCTCAGTTTCCCCATATGCAAATAGGGGATAAAAATATTAGTCTACCCCATAGGATTATGTTGAAAGATAAATTTGTTCATAACATATGTTATACACTTACACCAGTGCATACTATACAGGAAGTACCATACGTTAGCTCCAGTGTTTTTATAATCTATAACCAAATGAGGCTAGTCTGTATTGTGTCCAAACCCATGGCCTTGCCATTAGGAGTCCTGATATAGGACAATCTGTGTAAAACAATAACTTTAAAACATCTCCAAATCTAAAAGGGGATAGGGAAAATTTTTACTTCAAAGGCTAATGAGTCATAGACCAAACAAGGGTGTAATTAAAGTTCAATCATATAAAAGTCAATTAAAGTCAAAAGTCAACCCTCTAGGCTGAAGTTTCTCTCTGTAAACAGATTTATTCCTAAATTGCTTCTACATATTACACAAGACCCAGAAAGGTTTTCTAATAATATCAGAGAAGCGGGCACCTTAGAATTCCCTAAAACATACCTAGATGCTTAGTCCAGGGGCAGGATGATTGAAAAATAGCTACTAGAGCATCCTCAGCCTCAAACCAGAGTTCCTGTATCAGTTTACAGACTGCAGTTTGAATTCACCTTAATGGAGGCTATAGGACAAACCAGAAGTACCTACACTGAAAATGCAACTTTTTTTTTTTTGCAGTTGACATATATCTGCACATTCAATTAGGTTAAGTTGTATAAGGTTTATTTATTTATTTTTTAAATATTTTTTTATTTATTTCTAGGAGAGAGAGAGACAGCGTGAGCAGGGGAGGGTCAGAGAGAGAGGGAGACACAGACTCTGAAACAGGCTCCAGGCTCTGAGCTGGCAGTCAGCACAGAGCCCGACGTGGGGCTCGAACCCACGAACCGTGAGATCATGACCTAAGCGAAAGTCGGATGCTTAACCGACTAAGCCACCCAGGCGCCCCAGGCTGTATAAGGTTTAATAAAGAGATTGTTTACAAAGATGTGGTCAGGGTGTAGAGAAACCACAAGGGAGAGTGCAACCGCTCAGAACTGTTACCACTCCCAGGCCCAAAGAAACAGGAGAGGAAGTAACTCCTGAAGTCCTGAAAAAGAAAGTGCTATGAGAAGACCACCTTAAGAGAAGATGTGCTCATGATCAAGGATATAGCCAGCCTGCAGTCACCAGTCACCGTGGCAGGGAGGAAGCCAACGGAATAAATACCCTCTCCTCACTCTCTTCTCCTCCAGCTTCTTGCCTGTGCTCCCTATTGGCCAAGCCCAACTGGAAGTTGGCAGACAAGGGAGCCTGTTAACATATGCCTACTGGTTGGCCTTCCAATGCAGAGAGCAGGGTGGAGACCAGAGAGAGAGGAGTAAACAGAGGGAGTAAAAAGAAAGCACCCAGACAAGATATATGTGTGTACAAATATGTTAGAACGCGAACAGAAGCCTGCTGGGGATGGGAAGGTAGGATGGGGTTAATATTTACTATAATCTAAGAAGCAATGGAAAATTGGCTGGAAAAAAACTCAAAACCCTAAAAATTAATGCTGTTCATTGGTGTGTAGACAAGTCCCTTCATCTCTGGAGCTCAGTTTCTTTACCAGACTGGGTGACCCACTAAAAGTTCTTCCAGCTACAACTCTCCATGATTTCTTGAAATGAGCTCTGCTTACACCCGGGAGCTTTCCGATAAGGTTTGTCACGTACAATAGACCCATGATGACTTTCTATTCACTCCAGATCCTTTCCTACAGTGCCCTTCCAGACACAGCACTGATGTCTCCTCTTAGTTCACAGCCCCTGCAATCAATGAGCTTCTCCTGTAGCAGCCTCTGTAAGACATGCCTCTTACCGACCGCACTCCCATTCCTCGAAGCAACAAAGGAGAGAAGTACATCACGCAGGCCATCTCCATTCACATCGGCCAATTCCAATGGAGACAGGTCTCCACCTGATAAACACATAAAAACAAAAAAGCCCTGAGTTAAGTCACCACAAGCCAGTTCCCTCCTCCAGGTTACAAAGGGACCAGACACAGAGCACTGCCAGCACCTCCCTAAAGAACAGGCAGACTCCGGGTTCCTAGATAAGACAGAGTACACATGGTACCACCTATTCTTCTAAGTACAGCTAAAATCCCTGGGCATTACGGACAAAACAAATGTAAAAAGACTCTGGAAGGTGGAGAGAGAGAGAGAGAAGATAGGCTGGCCAGAGATGGCAAAACCCAAGGAATGACAAGGTGATGACTCCCCTGGGTTTTCCTTTGGCCTAGTACGTCCCAGACAAGGTGCTACAGAAGCTGGCAATCCAGAAACGCCAGCAGGTACGGATACAAAAGGGCCAAGGAAAGCTGGCTCCCCTAGCCAGAGGCCCAGGAAAGGAGCAGCATAGCAAGACAGGAAAGTTTCAGACGACAACTGCCCTACTCCAGCCAAACACCATACGGATAGAACTGTGCCCCCACGCCCACCCCTGCAGCAAAGGCCAAGTGAGAGCCTGGAGTTCCACTCTGCCCAGCTGCAATAAGGTACCCTTCTCCCACCCCAACCAGGCTCACATCGGAGAAGGCAGGCAGGGAGCCAGGACCTTCACCCTGCCTGGTGCCATCCACACACAAGGGAAGCCTACAGTTCTACTCCTAACTGGCATTAAGGAGGTGGCCCGTGCTGCCCCTGCCCGGGTGGTGTCAGCAGACACCTAGCAGGGAGCCTGGGCACCCCACCGAGCAGTGAGTGGCAGGTTGACAGTGCCACCCTACCCTCAGGTCAGAGGACGCCTGCCAAATTTGGAGAGAACTCATGCACGGCTGGTGGAAGTGTAAACTGGCACAACCACAACGGAAAAGAATGTAACCGAAATTGAACACAGGCACACCCTAGGACCCAGCAGTATCACTCATAGGTTAATGCTCTAGTGAAGTGCTCCCTCACTGCATCAGGGAACATGTATAAGAATCTTCTTAACAGCACTGTTTATATTTTAGAAAATAGAAACCACCTAAATGTTCGTCAACAGTAAAATGGATCAATACATCATGGGATACTCGTACCAGGGGAAATCAGTGGTGACAATGAATAAGGTCCAGTTACAGCGTATCAATGTTGATGAACCTCAAAAAGCATTTTATGAACATGCTACACAAAAAAAAGCAAGTCATAGAATACTGCTTAATTACTTTTATACAGAATTCATAACAGGCAAAGTTACTTTACCCTGTGGTAAAACTTTAAAGAAAAGTAAAGAAATAATGACACAAAACTCAGGGCAGCAGAATGCTCTGGCAGGGAGAGGTGGCTTTGGTGAGGAGGGACACGTGGAGATTTCAAAGGTCTTTATAATGTCCTATTTCTGAAACTTGGTGGCAGATACATCAATGATTTGTTCCGAGCCTTTACACCATATACAAATATTACGAGAGCTCACTTAGAACCAAAAAGGAAGTAAGAGGAGCGCCTGGATGGCTCAGTCAGTTGGGCATCCAACTCTTGATTTCAGCTCAGGTCACAATCCCAGGGTCATGCAATTGAGCCCTGTGTCAGGCTCTGGGCTCTGTGCTGAGTGTGGAGCCTGCTTCAGATTCTCTCTCTCTCTCTCTCTCTGTCCCTTGCCCCCACTGGAGCTCTCTCTAAAATTAAAAAAAAATTAAAATAAATTAAAACTATTTAAAAAGGGAAGGAAGACTGGGAGAGATACCCTGTGTGGTGGGAACATAGCATACGTCACATCTACTCAGTCTTGCCTTGGGAGAAAGTAAAGGTGAGAACACAGAACTCACCAGAAACTAAATCAACTAGGATTAGTGAAGTGTCAGAGGTAAAATATTTCTTTTTTTTTTTTTTAAATATTTTTATTTATTTCTAGGAGAGAGAGAGAGAGCATGAGCAGGGGAGGGTCAGAGAGAGAGGGAGACACAGACTCTGAAACAGGCTCCAGGCTCCGAGCTGGCAGTCAGCACAGAGCCCGACGCGGGGCTCGAACCCACGAACCGTGAGATCGTGACCTCAGCGAAAGTTGGACGCTTAACCGACTGAGCCACCCGGGCGCCCCAGAGGTAAAATATTTCTAAATGAAGATGCTGTAGGGGTCTGGGAATACCATGGGGGAGGGAAAATTTCTCCTCTAACCTCTTAGGGCTTCTAGCTGGGACTGATAGGACATAGCGAGGTCACTGATTAAGAAGACAGACTGACATGAGAAAAGGACTCAGAGTTCATTGAATGAAACTTCACGTGGACAGGGGAGCCCCCACAGGAAAAGAAAGACCTGGAGAAGTGCTCACGTACGGGGTGAACAAAGCGTGGGCGCCATGGGACGGGAACTAACGTGTTTAAAGAGACCAAAGGAAGAGAAGAGTCATTTTAACAAGGTCTGTTTGCACAGACTTCCCTCAGCCTCGACCTCCTGTCTCTATTGATTAGAATGTTTCTTTCCTCTTGGTACTGGGAGGGCATCGTTCACATCGGAGTCTCATCTTCTGCTTCAAGGGAAGAATTCACGGTCAAGGTCAGAGTGCCCTTCTTGTATATGCTGCTATTTATGTGCCTTCAACTCAAAATAAACAATATTTTGTTTACTGTGACATATTTTATGGTGGTGTGTTCTGAACTCCTGCACCCCAATGCAGTTTACAAAACATAGGACTGTTCGGCACTGACAGCTCAGACGGAATTCCCATTCTTGACCCAGCCAAGCTGTTTTAAAGAAACCTGCTCCAGAAGGAGACAAAATAGCTAGAATTACTTGGGTGGCACTCACCTGACCATTAGGAGCAAGAAAGAAAACTTACTGCAAGAAAGCAAATCCACTTTGCTTGAAATTATTTTAAAAGTCAAATTGGGGGGCACCTGGGTGTCTCAGTCAGTTAAGCGTCCGACTTTGGCTCAGGTCATGATCTCATGGTTCGTGGGTTCGAGCCCCGCATCGGGCTCTGTGCTGACAGCTCAGAGCCTGGAGCCTGCTTCAGATTCTGTGTCTCCCTCTCTCTCTGACCCTCCCCTGCTCATGCTGTCTCCCTCTCTGAGAAATAAAAAAAATTTGTTTTAAAAACATTAAAAAAAAAAGTCAAATTGGGTCAGGCTCCTACAATCAACAAATGCCTGAGGGTCCTACAAAGCCCTGGCCTCGGGTCTGGCTAAACTTCAAGCCTTACTTTTCTCTGCGAACAGCCCATCTCGCAGCATTGCTCGCCCTGGCAGCTGACTACACTGCAAGGACCCAGCAAACCAATGCTCTGTCCTATCTGCATCTAATTAAGACCAATGCCAACAGACACACAACAGAGCAGCGACCTTCTCAAGCTTCTGGAGCTGTATCAGTCTTTTTGTTTTCTTTCCAGTTTTAACCTCCCAGCCACCTCCACACACATGGAGAAGAATGCTAAATGGCACCCATTTATTCGTGAAGGCCTGGAGAGACTTTTCCGTGCCGTCAGGAGTTTTCCAGAATTCCATGTAAACTTGAAGTACTACAGAACTGGGGCTGGAAACCCTACAACTCACCTGTCTGGGGGCCCAGGTGGCGGCTCCAGGTGCTGTGCAGATCTCTAGGGGGACAGGGGATCAGGAAAGCACACACGAGCACCAGGATCATGGAGATGGCTAAAGTTAGCAGGAAGACAGATGTGCGTATGTAGGACACGATGGAAGAGGTTGCCTTCTGCTCCAGGCCCCCAAGAGGTTCCGAGGGGAACCCCTCTGCGGTGACCTCTGAAAGATGCGGCTTCGCAGCCCCCATAGCCTCGGCATCCGAGTCAGGCTCTGGCACTTCTCCCAGAGGGCTCTTCCCGTTTTTGACCCCTCCATTCTTCTGCTGCAAGTTGAGCACAAGGTCATCCTCACTCTCGTCACTGTCGGCCTGTGTGAGGGGGTCATACTCCCCTAGATCTGGACTTTTCTTCCCTGAAACACAGAAAGACAGAGTGTCAGGAAGAACTAGGAAGGAGAAACCCTCACCAACTACATGGCAACTGTGAACACCTAAAAGAATACACAGAAAACAAAACAACTGAAGTTTACAAACTTAGATCTTGATGGCTATCCATAAAACAGATGCCAGCAAAATGGGAAAAGAATGGGGGGTGGGGGGGGGGAGAAAATCAGTGTTCTAGAATTATTGCTTTTATGAGTTTAAAAAGTTGGAAAAGAAACAGAGAAAGTGGCAAATTTCATATACCTTTTTAGTTTAAAAAAACTCTTAATTTATGTGAATCTCACTAAAGAAAAAGACATGGCTCTTATATCAACCTTCCATATGCCTTATGTGCAGATTTCCTTTGATTTTTCTTAGATCTGTGATGTTCCAATCTTTCCCGGAACTAGCCTAAACTTCAGAAGAATTGTTCTCTGGGCACTGCTTCTCACAGTCAGATACTTGTGGCTTCCCCATGGTCTCCATGGAAACAGCTTGGAAAGTAGAACACGGTCACCTGAAGACGTTCTGCTAAAAACTCACTTCCGAGAAACTTCCTGATGATTCTAACGCCCCATCAGTACATGTTTTCGTAAACAGTGTTTACCTTTAAAAATGCTATTCTGAGCAAGTATTTTAGAGGGGGTGGGATCAAGCAGGAATGCAGAGACAAAGGATTTGTCTCACAGAGGGTTTACCCAACAAGCGCCCTATTTTTATTTAGACTCTACATTTATTGGGGTGGCTGATAGGTGAAAATTATAGGAGAGCTTAAGCAACTCTTCCTCCCAAGCCACTCTTTGACCCTCACTGGCAATGACTGAATTATTTTATGCCTTTAGTTCATGCTATAACTATGCAAAAACCAAGAAAAAAAATTCTGGTTTTGGAAATTACATGGTAGGCTGTACTAACATAAACTCCATTGTTAAATCTTTTATTAGGAAGAAATGTAAACGGGCACAGTCAGTTGAGCATCTGACTCTTGATTTCAGTTCAGGTCCTGATCCTAGGGTCGTGGGATCAAGCCCCACATCAGACCCCCGCCAGACTCCATGCTGGATCATGGAGCCTGCTAAGATCTTCTCTCTCTTTCCTTCTCCCCCTCTCCCCAACTCCTCCCTCCATCTATCAATAAATAAATAAAGCTTAAAAAGAAATATAAAAAAGAAAATACAACCCAGTTAATTAAAAAGAAAAAAGAATTCTTGATGTTAATCTCTGCCTCTTATTACTGTGACCTTGGTGATGTCACTTCATATATTATGTTTCATTTACTCAAGACATAATATGAAGCAATAAAACACTATATAGAAACCAATATGGGAAGTAAAATCTTTAGTGTAAAGCTTACTGCCTGGTACACAGAAAATCAATAAATATTTGATTAAAAAATAAACATTACACAGACGTATTTAATAACATTAAATATTTTACAAAAAAAGCATGGAAGTTACTGAGCGAACTGGCATTCTATTAGCTACAAACTTCTATGTATTTTCACTTTCAAAGCTGTTCATTTTATCAACAAATATTGGATTTGACTTGTAAAGGCACAAATTGTAAGAAAATAGATCAATTATTAGGAATTTAATTCAAAATAGTACTTCCAAATTATGCCATAAAGTCAATAAAGGTTTAAGCTAATCTTCTACAATTTATGTATCTCCTCTGCGAACCAAGTTATTTTATTAATTAGGGTACACCATTCCCGAACTGTTCCATAGAATTTTAGTTATAATAACTTGCAAAAAGAACCATAGGCTGTTGTAATAATATTAACTCGAAAACTTAAAAAAATTTTTTTTAACTAAAAGGATATACCTGATGGGATTAAAAATGTGATATATATGTTCAATGGGTTATTATCCATCCTTAAAAAGTAAAGAAACTCTAACATATGCTATAATACAGATGAACCTTGAAGACATTATGCTAAGTGAAATAAACCAATCTCAAAGAGATGCTGTATGATTCTTATATGAGGTATTTATCTACATTAATCAAATTCATAGAAACAAATTAGAATGTAGTTTCCAGGGCTTGGGAGTATGGATAAATGGGGAGTTGTTACTATTTAATGGGTACAGGTTTCCTTCACTATCCAAAAGTAGAGTGCTCCTGTCAAACTCCTCTAAGCTATAATAGCATAAAACAAAAAAGCAATTACCATTAATTTATATGGAAAACATTTTTTTTTTTTTTACAAATAGTTTATTATCAAGTTGGTTTTATGGAAAACATTTTTGAGCTTTCCCAGACCCAAGCAGTAACCTCTCCTAGGCTTCTCTGATATCTCAGGACACATCTTGCTAATGGAGGCACAAAATAAATCGAGATAGAGCACAGACACTCAGAGTTCAGAGCCCTGGCGGCTTGGGGCCAGACGCCGAGTGTGGGTCCCAGGCACGGCGCGTGGCACGGCCCCTCTCACAGCTGGGGTTAGCTCTGCCTCTCTAAGGACTTGCTGCAAAACAAGCGCTGAATACTATTTCCACTTTTTGTCTTTTTTCAGAGAAGAGAAAATCCTCTTCAGATTTCTGTAGGTTAGTGAAAACAGGCACTGACGTAGGTCTTTCATAAAAGCAAAGTGACAGAAGGCAAACCATCAAACAGCGGCGGATGCCTTAGAGAGTTTCAGCTTTGCAGGAGGAAGTTCTAGACACTGGCTGCACAACAAGGTGAATATACATAATACACTTAAAATCGGTTACATTTTAAAATGGCACATATCAAAATGCTTAAGATGGTAACTTGTACGTGTGTTTTACCACAATTTTAAATTTTTTAAATTAAAAATTAAAAAGAATATATCGGACAAAGAAGAAAACATATGTGGCAGCCCCAATCTCAGGGGAGGAGGAGACTCTGAAGGTCACATAATCAAACACCCACCGCACACCTAAACATAAGCAGTATGAGGGAAACCCGCTGCCCTCCGATCCAGAAAGCAGTTCCGCACACTGATTCAAGAATCTATTTCTGGGCATTTGCCAATTATCTGCCCTAGTTCTAATTTCCGGGACCCCTCTTCCACATGCAAGTCCTTCAAGACTTGAAGATACCAATCATAAGAAAAGTATGATATGGTATTTAAGAGTTTCAGTCTTTACAAGCAGGCAGACAGAGTCAAATCTTGGCTCTATCTCTTATTAATCATGTGACCTCAATTAAATTTCTTAGCTTTAGTAAGCCTTATTCTTCCCATTTCTGAAATGGGTAATTATTTTTCCTTACCTCATATAACTATTTTTGAGGATTAAATAAGGTACCACAGGCACGCTCCTTAGTGGCTGGCTTAGAGTTGCACTCAACAAATCTCAGCTTCTATTATTATTGTTGGCATATTTATCCCAACTGCTCAATCCTGTCTTCTCCGGGTTAAACGGCTCCACTTCTTTCAACTCATTACTTGAAGAAGCACTGTTTCACGTGTCATCGCATGCTGGTCACTCTGCTCTGGACACAGTGTGATATGTCAGTGCTTCTTAAAGCATGGTTCTCGGAACTGGATACAATCCCCTGGGTGCAGTCTGGTCAGGCCAGGGGAGGGCAGGGCCGCATCCTCCCTAGTCCACAGAGTACACTACAGTCCGATTACTGTAACCTAAGATCTTGCCAGCTTTCTTGGCAGCCACATCACGCAACTGATTCAGCTCAAACTCCCGAGTATTTTCTATATACACTCAAGCCACCTTATATAATGGTACAATTGGATTTTAACAGCAAGTGAAAAACTTAGCATTGATACTTACTAAATTCAACCTTGCTACTCAGTTGCCACCTTGTGACAAATATACCAGTCTAAGACAGTCAAAGTAAAACCGTTTCTAAAATACTGGCTAACGAAACAGTTTAAAAGAAATGCATTTTTATGATATCACACACTATCACAGGCAGGAAGAGAACTTGGCCCCATATGCTACAGAAACTAGTAAAATCTTTACTAAACCTCTAAAAATAATTTGCAAGCATCCTTTGGAAAACAGCTGCTGTTGAATTGGTCCCTGTAAAAGAATATATACTTCCAGTTGATGATGGCAAAGGAAAGCATTTCTGTCAGCATCCTTCCTAAAAACTGGGGGGCGGGGGGGGGGGAGTGGTAATAAAAATAGGATAAAAGAAAACAGCCACATTCCCAAACTACAATTTATGAAAATTCGTTGCCGAAACTTATATCCAACTGAGGAAGCACAGTAAGAGTAGACACGTGATTCTCAGGTCCCCCCAATGGCAGAGTTCACAGAGCTAATAATGACAGCAAAAAGATGACGGCAGTGCTGGTAACTGGAAAGTACGGAGCGCCTACTGTTCTGGGCACTGGTCCAAGCAAGTGCGTGTTAATTCCTTCGATCCTCATGACAACGCTGGAAGGCAGCGTTATTGTTAGGTATGGTTATATGTATAGGTATTGTTATATGAAGGTATCATTATTGTTATTGGTGGTGGTATTATTATTATTCCCATTTTACCAACAAGAAATGAAAATATAGAGAGGTAAGTTGCCTAAGATCACAAAACTAGGAAGAAAGAGACCCAGGATTCAAATTCAGGCAGTTTGACTACAGAGTCCACAGCCCTAACCAATCAATTATACTACCTCCCTTGTTCCTCGGATATAAAGCCAAACTAGTTATCGCTTGCTTAGAAAGACCAAGTCTGGGGTCGCACAGGCATCAATGGGCCCCATTAACACCACGGAGTCAAAAGCAAGATAAGATTAAATGAGAAAGGCTTCTATGTTCACAAGAAGCAGGCTGTCAGCCTGGCAGGTAAGAAAAGTAGCTGTAGACAACTGTCCTGAAGAGGGGGATTTTTTTTTTTTTTTTTTTTTACTTGCTGGGCCCAATTAGATTAAATTCTAGCTTCTAAGTGCCCAAGCTCACTCCCCCAGCCTCTGCCTACATGTCAGCCGAGAGCTCTCTGTAAAACAAATGACCATTAAATATGATTTATAATCATAAAGGAGCCATCATTAGTACTTGTTCCATGAGATACTTCAAAGTTCTAGAAATATTCAAGAAAGAAGTTACAATAAAACACAACAAACAAAATCTGCTAAGGCACCAATGCTGGCCAAATTATGCCGCAAAACAGAAGAAATAATGAACAGATACTTCCCCAGGGAATCCAAGAAATGAAAGAAAACAGTCTTCTCTGAAATAAGAGTTCACAGAAAACACATAATATTTCTAAGAATAAATGACAACTCAATAGAGAAGATGAGAAGCAAACAAGCAGGGCTCAGGAAAACAATGGAAGAAGATAATAAAACAGGTTTAGAAAAGAAACCTTTACTGGAACGAGCAAAAGAAGCAGATATGGCTGAAAAGAGTCCGAGATATAAAGGGCAGACTGGTGGAAAATCAAGCAAAAAGAAATGGAAGCAACCAGAATGGCTGGTCGTGCCAGGCACTGAGTATGCACCCTTCCACACCCTTCTACTGCCTTATCTCTGCAAATCTTCATAAGCACTCTTGGAGGCAGACACATGATTATCTCCATTTTCAAGATGAGGAAACTGAGGGTTGGAAGTTTAAGTAACTGGGCCCACAGCTGAACGGCAAGCAAGCAATAATGGAAGGATTCAAATCCAGGCAGTCTGGCTTTAAGGTCTCTCGGGGAAAAGAGCAAGGCTTTTAAGAAGACTGAAAAGGTATGGATATAGACAGCAAAGGTGACCCAATATATGCATAACTGAAGAAGAGAACAGAAAAGAAAATGGAACCAAACACAATAATTAAAAGTTATACCAAATAAGCTCCTGTAATATAGCAAGACCCAAAATGGTAAAGGGTACACTGAGTCCTGAGCAAAACTGATACAGAATAATCAATACTGAAACATATTGCAATAAAGGTGCTAAACTTCAAGGACAAAAAAAGAATCATATATGAGCAGCCAAGCCAAGGGAAAGAGAATCCAGTCACTAAAGGTGGGAACAAAAATCAGGCTAACTTCTTTGCAGTAACCTATATTATTAAAAGATAGTATATTTTCCCAGACATTACAAAGACAAACCTCAGCTTACTTATTACAGACTATTAGCTTGATCAGAGAACTCCTACATAAATATTCCTGCCATCTACTCAGAGAAAGACAAGGGATTGTGAAGTATAAAGTACACCAGCTTGCCTAAAGTTATAATCATGATCAAAAATCCATGCTTCAAAAGGCAGGGCACTTTAGCACTCTTTTCTCCACTGATTACATCCACCACCCACATTTTTAATCAATGAAAAGTTTTCAAAGAATAAAGGAGAGGATACTGATTTCATAATACATCAATATAAATGAGCTTTCCCCAGCAATCACTTTTCCTCTTAGGAAGGCTGAGGATGCCAGTTAAACAGCATTCCCAAAATGCTACAGGGGAAAACAGGAAGGAGATGCAACTGTATCTTCCCCAGACATGTTCAGGAAAATATGCTGTAATACACATCATTCTATGATATGTACTATACTTCACATACACTATACTATACACTCTAGTGCAATTAAAGGTAAATCACATCATGGATTAGATTATTCAAGAGCACATAATGATTCTAAATTACACATAATAAAACAGATCATTATAGTAACATTGTGCTCTGATATATTCTTCAGGATTTGACCTTCAAACTTTAAAAGGGACTAACAAAATATATACTTAAGATAAGTTGTTCCACAGGCTGCTTTATGAATGTCACACTGCCCTTCCGTTACTAATTAACCCTATATCATATGCATGTGAGCCAAACATCTTTCCATCTTGGGCTTAGTGGAAGGGCATGAGACTGTGAAATAGATTCCAAGCAACTGCTCTTTCTTCACAAGGTTGATGACATTTGTCATTAGCTCACTATTACCTTCAGCCTTCCTTCAGGTAGCACATTCATAAATGAGCCTGGTGCTAACGAAGATGATAATAAGAATTAACACTTACTGAATAATTAACATGTGTCAAAGGTTAACAAATCTCTTCACTACATCCGTTCTTCTTAGACAACCCTGGGGCGCGTGGGTGGCTCAGTCGGTTAAGCATCCAACTTCGGCTCAGGTCATGATCTCACTGTTCGTGAGTTTGAGCGTCACGTTGGGCTCTGTGCTGACAGCTCAGACCCTGGAGCTGCTTCAGATTCTGTGTCTCCCTCTCTCTCTGGCCCTCCCCTGCTCGCACTCTGTCTCTCTCTCTCTCAAAAATAAATAAACTTTTATTCATTTTTTTGAAAAAGCTTTTTTAAAAAGCTTTAAAAGTTTGAAAAAAAGGTTTTTTTAAAAAGCTAAATAACCCCATGAGGTAAATATGTAATAGAGTGTGCAGCACATAGTGAATGTTCTGTAATAATAGTATCATGACACAGGAACAAACTAAAGCTTAAAGAGATTAAATAACTAATCTGGTAAACACTGGAGTTGAACCCAACGCTGTCTCATGCTCTTAGTTACTATTCTAGTGCACTTCCTTACACATAGAAATAGTGAGGATGTCGTGTGGTGATCATTTTGCAATACATACAAATATCAAATCATTACATTGTACACCTAAAACTAATAGGATATGTCAATTAGACTTCAATTTAAAAACAGAGAGAGAGAGAGAGAGAAACATTAACTAAGGTAACATAACAGAGTAGCCTGAACAGGATAGCGACCTCACACTCCCAATCACAGGAAATTCAAAACAAAAGCTATTTAGAAAGCAACTTCTACCTAATAGAAAAGCTAAAAATTGTATTTGGGGCAGTGGGGAGAAACGGCAAAAGTAGAAACAAAAAACAAAAAAAAAACCCACGACCCGCATCACCAAAGAAAACACACGGCCATTGCACCTCGGCCTTAAAAAGTATCAGACATACCTGGGTGCTCAGGCCCGAGGCACTGTCCAAACACAGGCCCAAGGACCAGACTGTACTTTCCCTACCCTGTCAGGTGACCGAGTTACTGCAACTGAACCCTCCAGAGTGATAATGCCACAGCCTTAGAACGAGAGAATGCAAAAGAGCTCAAGAGTTTGCAAAGTGTTTTTCTAGCATTCCCATCCTTAGAGAAGAATATTTATCTATGCTGGAAAAAAGGAAAGAAATAAATCTAAATATGTCTGATATCTCATTATCCTCGGGGGAGGGTATCATCCTACACAAAGGACATACAAAGGTACTCTCTTTAAAGTTCATTAATCCTGGGGCGCCTGGGTGTCAGTCCGTTGTGTGTCTAACTCTTGATTTCAGCTTAGGTCTCGATCCCAGCGTCGTGGGACCGAGCCCCATGTCCAGCTCGGTGTGGAGTCAGCTTAAAAGAGTCTCTCTCTCTGCCTCTCTCCCCCGCTCGTACTCTCTCTGCATTCTCTTAAAAAATTTTTTTTAATCCTGCAGGTAAAGGCACACATCCATCCCCTACTTCATTCCAAGGCAGATATTATCAGTGTTCCTTCCAGTGTTAATGAGCCCATGGGGGGGGGGGGGGGGGNGGGGGGGGGGGAATGTCTGAGGTCATGAGGTCTGGGGACAGAAATGCAAATTCATGCCCAAAAGACTGGAGCTCCTTAAAGTCCCCTGATACACCCTGTGATGCCACATGCTGGGTTACCCACCAGACACCGAACTAGCCCTTTCTTAATGATACCAAGGAAAGCAACTGTTTTTCCTACTAACCCTGCTTTTCTCACTATCACCATATCACTAAATGCATATTTACACCTTAATGTTTAAATTTTATGGACAGGATAAACATACTTTTATTCAAATAGCAAGTTTGTAGCAGCACAGGCCTATCCTGGAGGTTTAAGAGAATTTTTTTAAAAACTTGAAGCCGCTGCCCAAAGTACTGAATTAGCTCTAGAAGTTGTCATCACTACTAGTGCCTCCTTAAAGAACATTCCACAATTTACCTGCAACTTTCGGGTGCCCAATCCTTTCCCTCCTCAACACTTAGCCTCGACAGCCAGAGGCTGATCAAGAGGCATCAAAAGCGCAGGATCTAGAATCCAAAGACCCCCCGACGTTTTGTCCAGGCTTTTCCAATACTGTTTTTGCGACCTTGGGACACGTCAATCAGCCAAATAACTCTCATTCTCCTCCTGTGTAAATCCGAAGGGGTAAACACCTGTCCTACGTACCCTAGGGCTGCGTCAGTGTTGCCATGAAGTGGGGACGCTGCTCCAGAGGGTGGCCCGCTGTCCGGCCGCCCCTGCCCCCCTCGCTCCCGGGGTCCGCCCACGGCAGAGGAGCTGGGGACTCCGCGGGCTGCGCTCAGGAAAGGATGCTCCCTCACCAGCCCTCCTTCGGGATGGCGGCGCCGCGCGCTCTGACAGCCGAACGCAAGCAGCGCCCGCCTGGCCCCGGCCTCCAGCCCCGCGCGCCTCCGGCGGTCCCTCCCTTGAGTCGCCCAGGCTCGCCCCGCGCCCGCGACCCCCGACCAGCCTTGCACCCCTCTCGCCCCCTGGTGGCGACGGACCCCCAGCCCGTGGGGGCTGCACCCGCTCGCCTCCGCGCTCCCGCATCTACGCTGGGGCTGCGGCTGGGGCCAGGCCCCGACCGGCTTCGCCCCCAGCGCCTCGCCTCCCGGTCTCCCCGGGGCCCGCGGGAGCAGGGTGGTCGCGAGGCTGCGCCTCCTTACCGGGGAGCTTGAGCGCCCTGGACAGCACAGTCGCCATGGCGGAGGCCCCGGTGCGCGTGCGCGCGCGCGCGCCCGCGTCCTGCCGGGAAGTGTAGTTCGCAGCGGGCCGTGCGCGGGGCTGGGACCCGGGAAGGTGGGAGCCGCGAAGCAGAGCCGGGCCGGGGGAGGCGCGGGGCTGCGGCGCCCGAGTCCCCGTGCACGCTTCTGCGGGCTTTTCCCCCGCCTACTCGAGCCAGACCCCTCTCCTGGCAAGTCACCTCACTGCTCTGAGTCACCCTCCTCCTGCTCAGTGAAATGGGGAAATAATAACTATCCCGGAGGCTTGCAGTGAGCTTGGAATGAGATAGCAGGTATTCAGGGAGGCACCGGTGGTGAAATGAGCGTGGGCTTTGGAGTTAGGATTTGAATCCTACCTGCGTGCCTTGCCAGCTGGGCCATCTTGGGCAAGTCACTTGGCATGACTAAGCTTCAGTTTCATTTTTAAAATGGAGACACTACCTGATTCACACAGGCTTACTGTGAGAATTAGATCATCTGTGTAAGATACAGGGCACCCAGTAGGCACCCAGTAAGTGTGTTTCTTTCTGTTTCTTGGGTAAACGGTGAGGTTTCCTAGAGCTCTAACCCTCGTCTCATGTTTCCAGGTCTTCCCAGGTACCTGCTGGACATTCTACCCTGCAGATTCTTAGCTTAAAGAGTCTAGAAAGCAGGAACCGACCTGCTTCTTACCCACAGGCACCAAGAGATCAGCATTTTAGCGCAAGAACGCTGAAGATATTATTTATCTCAGAGTTGGGACGGGTCTTAGAGGTCACCTAGTCCACCCTCCTTGTTTCTCTGAAGAGAAAACTAACATCTAGAAAGATGATGTGACTTCTTAGTGTCAAACAATAGCTCTAAGTTACCTCTCTCTTGGACTCTGCCTCATTCCCATGAAAAACCGTCAGTAGGACTATCCTGTGGGTGTAATTCACATCCCCTCACCCTTTTCCACACAAAAACATGTCATGGATTCTGGACAGGGCACAGAGGCCGGAGACAGGCCACTGAGTTCAAATCCTGACTCCACCATTTCCTAGCTGCCAGATCTAGGGCTTCTTGCTTTATCTCAATTTCCTCTCTGCTCAATTTCCTCACCTGCTAAGTGGGGAGGAAATATTTCCAGGGGCACCTGGGTGGCTCAGTGTGTTAAGCATCCGACTTCAGCTCAGGTCATGATCTTGTGGTTCGTGAGTTCGAGCCCCTTATTGGGTTCTGTGCTGACAGCTCAGAGCCTGGAGCCTGTTTCAGATTCTGTGTCTCCCTCTCTTTCTGCCCCTCCTCCACTCATGCTCTGTCTCTCTCTGTCTCAAAAATAAATAAACAACAAAAAACAATTAAAAAAAGAAATAGTTCCAATCCCACAGAGTTGTCCTGAGAATTAAATGGAAACATGCAAAGCACCTAGAAGAGTGCCTGACACCTAGTACCTGTCGTATAAGTGTTAGCTCTCCTTTGTATTAATAAGTGATTAATTTTTGACAATTTAATAATTTAATAACAGATGGTACATTTCATAATAATTTAACGGATTGGTAATTTATTCATTTATTCTTACAGCATTCTACAAGACCCCAAATTTTTACTCTTTGCCATCTCTCTGGAGGTCTGATTAAAAACCATATTTTACATCTATGTAGGTCATCCTGGACCAGCAGCATCACAGGCCACAGTGAGCCAGTAGAGGCTTGCCTGATACCAGATTAGCTAATTGGAACACCTTCTTGAGATATGGAGACTGAGGAAAATAACTTTAAAGTGAGCAGGATGCAGGATATGTCAGTTTTAGCTGCAGAAGAACAGGAACTTGAGTTTCTAAGAGAAAGCAGGTGGGCAGGAACAGCCAGGTTACACAGAAAGGAAAGAGATCACCTATCCCCTTTTCATAATGAAAGGGTATGTGCTTCTTACGTGAGGGAAGTAAACTAATATTGTACAGTTTAAAGTTTGATTTAAAATTTTTCCTTCAAATGGCATAGGCACCAAAAGCACCAATGTGCATACACAATTATGTGTGAGCACATAAATGTGTGTGAGTGTACACATACCCCATAGCTGTCTCCTCTCCAGCCCCTCAGCTTTCCATGCCTAATCTCTGTGGCATTTACACTCTCCCTACAATCACCCCAGCTTTGCCCAAATGCTTTTCAGGGGGAAGCAGAGGCTGAAGACTCCCTTTCGGCTCCCTGAGCAGCCCCCCTCTTTGTTTTCCTTTCCTTGGCCCTTCCAGAAATCTCTTCCATCCGCGACTTTTTTTTTTTTTTTTTTTTGCATCTTAATGCAAGACCTCCAGCTTAAAACATTGTTTCTCAATGTTAATGTGCTTTTCTTCCAATTAAAGGGAAAAAACTCAGAGCAACCACCACATGAATCAAGATCTTTGCCTTTTACATTGAGAAAACCTGCAAGTTCCTCTCTTGTTACCTGCAGGAACGTACCTTCACTGCCCAGACACCCACTGAGGTCACTGTGGAAAATGCAAACACCCTGGGCTTCCTGACTTCCCAACCTGGTTTACCTCCGGGAGAAGTGAAGCAAGGGGTGGCCGGAGGGATGCCTGCAGACAGCCTAACCAGCCTACCCTGCCTGAGTGTTGTCCTTGCTACGAGGAGTAGAAGTTCTATTTCTGGAACTCATAACTGAAGCCAGAAGAGCCCCTTCTCTTCTTCCTACATTGAACTGCACTGGGAGTGTTCCTTCCCAACTTTCCAGGGTTCTAATATTTGGTAGAGGGAACTCACACTTGCTGCTTCTTATTACCATCGTGATATGCCAAGTATTGCTCAAAATCTCTAAGCATCCTACATGGGTTCGTGATCACATCTGGTCATCTAATCCTTAACATTCCCTGGATGCTGTCACCACTTCTGCTGGCTGTGAACCTCCCGTCAGCATTCACCACCTCCTCTTGGCACCAGTGCTGCTGTGTCCGCCAGCAGCTACAACCCCTCCCTCTTGGTACAACTGAGACCTCCAGGCTTCCTGGCCATTTCTACTTCTTTTTAAAACTGCTCCTTCTTGTTCATAGCAGCACTCTCAACAATAGCTAAAACATGGAAAGAGTCTAAGTGTCCATCAACAGACAAATGGATCAAGAAGATGTGGTTTATCTATACCATGGAATACTACATGGCAATGAGAAACAATGAAATCTGGCCATGGGTAGCAACATGGATGGACCTTGAGGGTGATATGCTGAGCGAAATAAGTCAGGCAGAGAAGGACAAATATCATATGTTTGCACATATAGGAGGATTAGGAGGAACTTGACGGAGGACCTTGGGGGAGAAGAAGGGTGGAAATGGTGGGGGAAAGGGAGAGAGGCAAACCATGAGAGATTCTTGAATGCTGACAAAAACTGAGGACTGATGGATGTGGGGGGGAGGGGGGATGGGCATGGAGGAGGGCACTTGTGGGGATGAGCACTGAGTGTTATGTGGAAACTAATTTGACAATAAACTATTTGGAAAGAAAGAAAAGAAGAAAGAAAGGAAGAAAGAAAACTGCTCCTTCTTCCCCTGTCTCCTATCAGTCAACGCCACTTCATGTTTTAACGCTGTTAACATGGCAAAGCTGTTGGATGCAATGGCAACTAGGTAAAACTGTCTCTCTTCTCTTTTTATGTTACTCTTTATTAGGAAAATACCCATGCTATCCTGCCTACTATTAGGAAAATACCCATGCTATGCTGCCTATTCTTCAAGGTCAAATGCAGTATTTTCATTAAACAGAGATTTCCATTTTTACTTTGCAAATCAAGCAGGGCAAGGTTGTTGCTGTTAATCAACAACCTCACAATTCGTGTGGTTTCAGAGGATAAGAGTTCATTCGGGCTCAATGTCACTGTCAAGGTGAGAATGGGAATAGACAGCGATGGGGTTCTATTCCTCCCGTTTATTCCAGCGATGGGGCTTATTCGCTTCTCATCACAGGCGACTTGATTTTGTGACCAGAAGTTGTGTGGCTTATTGTAGGGCTTGTGTTCTCAGAGCACCCTTTAATAAAACACAAGGGCTCGTCTAGGTTAGATTCATGCATATAGAACTTTCTAGAGTCTAGACTATAAATTGCTTTCTGGGCCCTGAGATTTAAACAATCGCTTCTTCTTAGGTCTCTGGCTGGAACATATGTTTAAGAATGACAGTATAATTAAGGACAGACCTCCCCAGGGCAACTTGGCTCTCCTTCATGTAGGCCTTCATCATAGCTTGTTCCTATGTCTACCAAAGCACTTGTGGTAGAACAGGCATGCCGATAGTTACCATGTACTGAGCGCTGATCTCCTACAGGAGAAGACATTGTTTTTAACCCTTGCCAACCTTGATCCAAAACTCTGCCCTTCACCAGCTTTCAAAAAAAAAAAAAATTCAGTGGACCAAGTATATTGTGAATTGTGTAGTTTTCCTGAAGATTTAAGGAAGCCAGGGGGTGGAGTCCCAGGGTACTCCTAGGATTTCACCAATCTCTCTTCTCCCGGGTCCTTGCCTCCTGGATCTATCACTGTTTCTTCTTCCACCAGGACCCCCCTGTGTCTGTCCCACTTATAAGCTCTTTCTTCTCCTCCCTGTTCTGCCTCTTGCTGCCATTTGCCTTGACATAGGCTGGAATCTTCCCTCCATCCTACAGTGGGCACAATCTTTCCATGGAAGCCATCACTTCACACAGTGGAATTCTGACACAATGTGTGCCATTGTCCCTCCTTAATTCTCACAGGGGCCTTGTTACTTAGGTCTTACCCCAAACAACGAGGATGTATAAGCTAGATGGATAAAGCCACTGGCCCAAAGTCTTACAGCTCCTTCACACTAGAAGGAGGATTTGAATGCAGGTCTGTCTGTTTTTTTTAATCACAGGCAAAGATATCAAATACATGGCACGTGGACTGCAGTTTGTCTTTCTTCATCCCTGGCACACATCAGTCACCACCATATTCTTTCACAGTGAGCCAACACAGCTTCCAAATCCTTAGCTCAGCTATCTGGGGAGTCATGACCTATCAATTTGATTTGGCCTAAAAACTGAAAACTATTTGTAATCTTTGCCTGACTTATGGCATAGTAACCACACTAAAAACCCTTTTAAAGATGGTACCCAATTCTTGACAGTGTTCAAGCGTTAAATGTAGCTGCTAGTTGGCCAACAATTGCTCTAATTGGTCAAGAGTCCTAGATGATTAGTCAGACATGTTCTGATGGTCAG